AACTACGCTCTACATAATAACACGAACAACATAACACGAACAACAACGACGACAGCAACAATACCAACAAGAACACCACTACCGTACCTCCATGAACAACAACACTAAAACTACCACCACCACCACCACAACTAACAACAAATACATTACCAACAACAAAAACAACAATTAGAACATCATCACCACCAACAACACCAAAAACATCATCAGCACCAACATCACCATCACCACCAAAAACAATCCATCCCCACCACCAACACTACCATCATTACCACCACCACCAAGACAGCACCACTACTACCAGCAACGATAACAACAACGACAACAATCATGGCAACAACATCATCAACAAAACCAAACTAATATGCGTCAACTTAATAAGAAATCGAAGGCACTAGTTACTTTTTTAAGGCAGGTTGAAATATCATTATTAACTGCGCAAGTCACTGGCGAAACTTCTAAATACGCTTGTAATTGTCTTTAAAATCCATTCAAAAATTTCAAATCGACAAATTATAATAGACTTATCAATACCATTTCAAACTTGCAAGAATTAAAACAACATTTAAATAGTGAACATCATTAAGAACCTTTTATTTAGCAAATTACGTCACCATTTTGCATATAATTGAAACATCAAAATGAATATTATATTAAACCCAATTACAAATCAGTTTAAATGAAGGTCTTCTACTTACTACTAGACAAATTCTGTTATTTGACAGGTATACTGTTGTTTTCATTGAAAGAGTTCAATGCAGATGACCTAATTTCGACAGGCTTAATAGTACATTAATTTTCGACATCATCGGAAGCCTAAGTCCTTTTATTATCAGGTTAAGCACTCAGAAACGAAGTCGGGGGATTAGGTAGGTGATTTTATTCTTCTGGTAACAATAATTGAAAGGTAATAAAGGTGAGTAAAGGCTTGGATTGGAGCTAATGTGGCACTGTATGCCTAAAAAAGTGAAAACAAAAGTTGGTGATCTTGTGGTTATGCGGTCGTGTGTAAGCGAAATGTTCCGGCTTGAAGTCCCTATGGTGGTTGAGTTCTTCAATTCTTTGTCAGATTCCTCTTTGTTACGCTTAAAATAATGTACAGGGTATATCAATGTATTGGCCTTTTAACCAGGGTGTAAAAGGTTGTACATGTGGACCCCTTAACCAATTACCCAACTGGGCCATTGTGGCTTCATTGTGAATTATACTTATGTCGTTATTTTCAATTTTAAAAAAAATAGATAAACATAGTCATAGAACTATTTAGGTATATGCTGTATTTTTGTATTTTGGATTAGGTGAATGTAAACTACTTTCTGATAGTAAATGACTAATAGATAACCCCAAAAACAATATTTCGATCAAAATGTAACTGGACGTTTGTTCCAATTAAAAGAGTAATATAAAAGAAACCCATTTAACAACTTCAAATCAACAAATTAAATAGGCCTATCAATAAAATTTGTACTGAAGAACATTTAAATATTCAAAGAGAATACCAATGTGATATCAAATTTTCTGAAAAGATTTACAGTTGAATATAATATTAACAACTTTCTAACTTTGCCCAGGTAAACAAAAGGTAATTTTCAAAAGGGGAACAGAGAACAATAACTTACTGAAACAGTTGAACAATTTAAGATTTATTTCCATAGGCTAAACAGAAAACCTGAAAGAAATTTCACGTTAGATTTACTGATAACAGGTTCTTGACCGAGATAAAAAAAAAGTTACGATTCTTTCTTTTTATCAAGAGACATTATACTTACATTTTATTAAATATAATTGACACTTTAAACATCTCCAATCAATCAAAATGATTCAAAAGAAGCCGAAAATTTGAACACCTGTCAAACTAAGATCACAAGGGGACGATTACGTTGCTATCTGTTTTATTTTCAAAGTTTTGTTCTATGGTTGTAAGTGTAAAGTTGTACTACGTAAACTGGGACCATTCGAATTCTAGGAATTCCAAATATATACAGACGATACTTCATATTTTCAACTTTTACAGCGCAAGGTCCTACTTTCTCTTCTTTTTTTTTTGCGATTCATAAAAGTTAAATAGAAAAGAATCAAGTTAAACATACAAATACAATTTAAAAGAGAAAAGTTAGGTAATTTACAATAATTAAAAGCGGATCATTTGTTATTGATTGTTCAGCTTTTAAATAAATATCCGGCGAAATGGAAAAGGAATTGGGATACCCGTAGACCTAGGTAAGTAGACCTATAGTAAACTGAAAAGATTATACGCTCGAAAGCTCCCATATTTATTAGGGTTTTAAAAAAAAACACCAGTTTAAACTGTTAGTTACGAGTGTCTTCGTACATCGACATTTTCCATTTCTGCAGACATTATGATTACTGCCAAAATGTTAGATTGGCCTTAGTAACCTAGACCTATACAGCAATGAACAGCACAATGACATCTTTGTACCATCGCAAGAGGACTGGAATCGTATAGTGTACTTGCCAATTCGAAAACCAACTAATAAAACAACAGTTACAAATATGTTCAGAATATTTATAAAACAGGCACCGTTTTACAAAACTGTCATATATAATAGTGTTCTCAATCCTGTAGACACATTACGGCAGACAAATTGGACCCGAATGACTAACAATCTGTCAATTACCAAATCAAAAATGTGTAAACATCACTTCAATCATGGAATTGTAAAAATGGGGAATTTTAGAGTTTTCCTCGGGGCATGAAATTCACTCTTCGGTTCTGACAGTAAAACGGTGACACTGATATCGCCATCCTACGGCTGATATAATTGACGTAAAATAGCCCATATCTCATATAAACCCACTCCAGGGCAATTCCCATTAGGCAATGCAGGAGTAAAGGTTGGAGAACACGGTCTTTTGCGTCAAGAGTATGGATCCGCAGAGATTCAACGGTCAAACAACATCCATTCCATCAAAGTCACCGTGATGTAGTAAATGAGTGGAACTCCCTTCCTCAAGAAGTTGTTTCCGCTTCATCATTGAATCGTTTAAAGTCCGGGTATATATTCTTTGATGATTTATTTATTTTATTATATTTTAATAATATATATATATATATATATGTATTATATTATATAAATACAGGACCATACTTCTTTACAGTTTTGTGCCTATATTATGATTATCAATATAATCATTAAATATCGTCAATGTCCCTGTCCCAGCAGTTACCATCAGAATCACTATCATTCTGACTTTTACATAACTATCATTATAATGATTATTAAATTATTATAATCATTAATATCACTATATTCCGTAATTATTTAGTAACATCATTTTCATCATTGCTATCATCATCGTCATCAGTATCATCATTATAATAATTAAAAATAACATTTTGACAATTTACTACGTCGTTTTTGCTCTTTCAAACTTTTTTCACAATCTAAAATAATACCCTAAAATAAAGAAGAAAATCTAAAAAATGAAATTAATACTTTGAATCGCTGGATAAATTTTGAACTTTCTCTTATGTCATGAATTTAAAGAAATTATTAATCCTTTTCAGCCAAATTAAAAGCAGACCTATATGAGATGACTAATGGAATGATGCTATTTAAAAGTCAGTTAATTATTAAAAGAGGAGTTACTTGTTTTTTTCATGTTAAAAGCTTAATATAAGTTTTTGAAAAATAAACAAAACTGTTCAATTTCTTTTAAATGTTACTCAAATATATTCTTTAAAGTTCATTTTAGATGTTAGTAGTAATCTTTAATCATAATTTATGATATAAGTAAATATTTAGAAAGCACACAATTCTTTGATGTTCTTTAAAGGTTAGATATTACGTGGTAGTCTTAACTGATAGATAATGCTATGTCATCTGGCTAGGGTCAAAATAAGGTTAGAAGGACGTAGCGAACTATAGTGAAATAGATGAAGTACTTCCGGTACGTACGCTATTTATTGGTCGGACGCCAATAAAGAGAGTACTGTACTATGATGATAATGTTCACCATTAATGTTATCGATGAATTATGTAGCCACAGAATACGGTAGCTAATCTTTATATTTTATTTGCGTGTTTTTATTAATTCAATAAGTTACAATCGGTGACTGTATTTTAAAATCTTACTCTTAGAAAACAAAGCATATTGACGAGTTGTAAATAACAATAGGCCTATAATAATTGGCCTGATAATAATAATAACAATATTAATATGTAAGAATATTAATGATGATGACAATAATACAGGTCTATTCTTATTATTAAAATAGCAGGCCTAGTAAAAACAATAACATATTCCGTTAGAAGATTTGTGTTAGGAATCCAAGTCTCCGACGTAAACATGCCTATCGGAATAGTATTGCAGAATTCGCTGCTACTTAGGGGATTTGGGTCTAATTGTGCTAATATTTTATTAATAGTCATTAATATAGGATTTACATACGCTAATAATTTTTAACAAATGGATAAAAGTTAAATTGGTGTAGCAATAAATTCCATTCGTTTCTTTTTTCGATTTTTTGTACACAAAATATGGTTAACACATTAAATATTTCAATAAATGATGGTGTTTAATCAGCTAGGCAGAAAGTAATAAATTGTAAAATAAATGAAAAATTCAATGCTCGTAAGTTGAAGTGCTCAACTAACACTTGTGATGAGCAAGCAAAAGAAAAGAAATATATTCCAATAAAAATATGACACGCATGACACATATATATATATACCCAAATGCATACAGGCATAACGAGTTGATATAGAGGTTTGCACTGTAAGTACATAAAGTGAACACATAGTAACATTGTGTTGACAGTGTGGACCAGGGAACAGTTAAATTTAACTGTTCCCTGGTGTGAACACAGTGTGCACATTATTCCACACGTGTTCAATCACACCGTGTCCACACAGTGAACACGCTGATGATATGTGTTCACACATTGTAAACCTCACCAATTCCGCCCTAGCCAATATAGTAAAAATAGAGTGAAGACAAACTCTTTTACTCTGTTTTACAATAAGGTATGTACTTACTAAATTTTTGTGAATTAAGGACATAAGGTACAACAGCACCGGGCCAAAGTTTCTTCTGTTCTGCAACTGCATTTCGTCGTGCCTGAAAACAAGTACAACTTGTAAATTCTACGTTCGGCACGTAGTAATTTAATAATAATAATAATAATAATAATAATTATTATTATTATTATTATTATTATTATTATTATTATTATTATTATTATTATTATTATTATTATTATTATTGTTGTTGTTATTGTTATTATTTGTTATGAAATACATAAAACATATTTAAACTAAATTAAAAATACTGATCAAGTAGTAAAAATATTGTGTTAGAATTGGAGCTTTAGTTAAACTATGTATTGACTTTAATGCGAAATCGGAACTGCATCAAATAGGCCTACATTAATACTTTTTTGAAATGAATAAACAATTATAACAATGTGAAACAAAACCATGTAAGTCTGACTCCTAAATTCAGCACTCGGACGAAGTGATTGTGGTAAAAAGAAATTAGCGTTAACATTGTTTGACCCCATTTCTTGACATTATTTGTCTATTGGAGTAGCAATCTGTGATTAAACGACATGGTTTGTATTAGAAATCTCATCACTCTGTCAGAATTGTCAGTCAGACAGATGAATGTTAATGAAGTGTCTATAATACACTTTTGCCTATAGTAGGGCCTATCTGAAGATTTTCTTTGTTGGTTTGCTTATTTTAATTTAGCTTGGTGGTATATTTCATTGTAAACCGTATTGTCAAACTATGTTATTTCCAATATGTGTCCAATGTGAGCTATAAGTATAAACAATAAGAATACGTAGGCATATGCTTAGATACACTTGTGCTTTAACTGATGACAGGTTATTTAAAGATACAAAAACACAGGAAAATGTATGGTAACTGTATATTCGTAGTGGGAATATATTCACGTGGGAACGAAAAAGGCGGAAAAGCAGAATAGCGAAGTCGACGTAAAGGAAACATCCAAAGCAGCTTTGAGTATCAGTATTAACACTTCATTTTGTGTATGCAATACTGATGTTTCTACGCTAATCCTATACTTGCTCAGATACAGAAAAATGATTGGATGAAGAGGAGTTCCTCCTCCCGTTGGATATCTCATCTTTTGGGAGCATGTGTCAAGAGCATACAATGATCAATTTAATTTTCTTCATGATTCGGCGCCATACAGCTACATGTCTGTCGACAAGAACATGAGTCAGGTGCACGCACTCATCGACAACTTGAATTATAAGTAGAGTAACACGTGTAAATGTTTTGAGATACGTAACGTTGGTTATTTAATTTCAATTTTAAAAGTTTAGCTTTGACGAATTTCAATTATATTTATTAGTCGTAAACATCGACAATTGTCTCTCTTGGGAAATCTCACGGCGCATAGTACAGCATTATTTAGCATTTTTATTGACTTTAATATGGAATTGGAAATAGATCAAATATTATAATGCGTTTTAAAATGATTAAATAAAAAATTTGCAGCCTTGATCTGAATGAATATGCCTAGAGTATTTATTTCACCGATAAATCTTTTTTATGATCGTAATCTTCAAAAAATAAAATTGAAATAATCTGAATATTATGAAATGAATATAATGAAACAACGTATTGAACGTGTGTAGGCCTACACCTGATAATTGCCAACGGGCAAATATACAGTAAGCTAGATTCAAATGAATCAAAAACTGTACGGTTATTGCTTTTATTATTTTTCTTAAATAAATTTGGTTTTGTTAGGTTGCTTCTATTTCAGATCAATATAGTTGCAAGTGTTACCTATTAAAATAAATCTTTGATCAAACCTGTGACAGTTAGGATCCAAATATTGTTACGCTACAGGCAATATTTACATAGGATTCATAATTGTCTCGCTAAGAGCACCGGGACGTGCTAGGGTAGACCATGGTAGACAAACCTGATGTGTCACCCTTGCCCTAATGTCTGATACTAACGTCAGATGATACGGGATCTGGTGTTGCATTGATCTCAGGATGTCTTCAGGGAGAACATAGTCCTGTTAACATACAGTGTACTTTACATGACGTTGAATAATAAGCCAGAAGTTATTTTTCAGAGGTTTCCTCGCTGATATCAAACGGACCGCCACGTTAGAAACAATAATTATACAGATTCATATTTCCCAGGTCAGTGCGCGTGGACCTGAAGTCTCAGTTCTTAACTTTAAATCTCAGCAGCAGTCTGTGTTGTTTACGTTTTTGCGCGTACAGTGGACATAGAGCGTCGAGATGAAGATGACGTTACCTCGGCAAATCACATTATAAGAGTTCAGGATGTTTCCATTTTAAACATGATGATCATGTTCACCAAACCCTTGACATGAACACGTAGACACACACAATTAAAAAAAATTAAAAAAAAAAATGTAGCAGTGAAAGTAATGTAAATAGCAAACGGTAACTTTGTTAAACGACACAAATTTTGTTTTCATCGCTTGTCAGACTAATCAAACGTCTGCAAAGTATTTTTTTTTTAGTTCGTCGACACGTTGTAACACCTGGTGATGTTATTGTAAATAGGCCTACGTTAACAAGTTCCAAAATTTCAATTTATCACGTAGGTACATATAATGCAAGTCGATGACCTTTTGCAGACGTTATCAAATATAATTACCCGAGTTGGAAATGTGATTGACTAATTATGGTTGATTCTGAAACTTATTTAACACTTAAGTAAAAGTAAAGTTGACCGTAAAACGTAATACACAATTTAAAAAATTCTAACACTACCGTCTTCTTGCCGATAACGTAGGCCTATATTACAATTTACAATGTCAGAGATAAAAATATTACATTCACTGCATCAGAATTTCAGCATTGTAAGCTGGCTAGATAATAGAATAACTTTATAATATACTGTACATTATAGAGTGTAAAACTGTTTACTGATCTACAAGCATGGAGAAAAGAGCCTTGGCTAAGACATAGCCGTTTCTATATCATTATAATTATCCATGTAGGACACTTGATTCCTTTATTAACAAGGGTTGGCCTCTATACCGTAATTATAGGTTGTGCTACTGTAGCTGTCACCATGCTTGACATTAAAGGTAAAGCATCATATTGGGGGCACGAAGGTAAAGTGGGGGATCGATGATCAATTTAGTGGCGCTAATTCGCAAAATATGGTGATTTTAGTTAATTTTTAACTACTTGACCGTGATTTTGGTGGGGGGAACGACTGGGGACGCGAGTATTTTTTTTTGGGGGGGGGGGGCGTGCGCCCCCACCGCCCTCCCCTAGATACGCCACTGGTGCTAATTGTGTATGTGACCACCTAGCCGCCGTGCTAGATGTGTACACTGTACTGGACCTATATGTTAAGTCTTTATCCGAGAAGACTTGGTTCTACCAACCAAACCCTGGAGGAGCGGCTGGAACCAGCGTCTGTCATTGAGTGTCATTTCATGGATTTTATCAGTTTTTTTTATCTATTGTAATACATTGAAATTGTTTTGATTCACTTCCACTACTCAACTTTTTAAATGTAGATTATTTACAATATAATTATCAAAATTGGAAAAATACCAACTGTACAAAGACAATGATGTTTTCCCGGCCGAACCAATGAAATATTACATATTCACAGAGACGCTGATTTTTATGAAAATTGTAATGAGAAATAGATGTTTACTGGTCATTTATATACTAGAAGGAACGTTCAACAATCTTTAAGAAAATGGTTAAGTTGATGGATGCCAGACTAGAATTTGAAGTCCAAATACGAGCAGTGCAACAGTGAAAATGTGGGCCTGCACTTTTATGAGATGCGATACTCAGATGTACGGTTGAATGGAGACACATGGGGTATACATACATGATTGAAACAGCCCTTCTAAGTACGGTGGTATGGTTAATGTATTTTGGGTTATTTTTTCTTGCTATAACATCTTTTACAATTTTTGACTGAAATGTAGGATTGATTGAATGATTGACGTTACAAGGTTAACAATAGACGTTACAGGCGTTATTTAATTAATTTGCTGTTTGATAGACAAGGTGAAAAGTGTGGCTTAGGAAGGTCAGTTTCATTATTTGATAATGTTAATGTCGACTAATCTTTACAATTAAGAACAAAAACAACTCAAAACTGCCCAAATAAAAATAAATATAGCAGGACTTTTTTACGCTGATTGACAGGTTTTTGAGTTTTAGAAATGGAAAAAAACTTTGAGGCTTAAAACACAATAACTTATATCGGGATGTTATTTGTTTTTATTTGACGACCGTAAGTGGCAACCAACGAAAGGGAGGTCCATGCTTGTTCGGAAGGGAGGAAAATTGATCTGAACCACCCCATCCCCCCACCCAAATGCAAAAATAAAAAGCCTCTTAGATCATAAAATGACTTATTCCAATCAACTGGTGATTCAATTAGGCAAACTACAATTAGCATGAATAAATTTTTGATATACAAACTTGTGAAATATAATTAATTCACGTAACTTCTGTTCTAACACTGGAAAATACAAACTTCAATTAGGCCTACCACCTATTCGATTTGAAGTCAAATTAATGGTAGTCGCACACATCATTACAGATTATGGCTGTTTACATTAGATTCAAATGAAGACGATGCAAAATTGAATAGTTTTGTAATGGTCTTAGTTGATAGAGCCACATACATTACAGCATTTATATAGCCCTATTTCATGACGATCAGAGCGCTGTAAGGGTGGACTTAGTATCTCATTCAGAAACTTTCTTCCCCTAAGGATCTCTTCGTGTCTGGTATACCTGATAAACCGGTCTCTTGTGCCCACAACAGGGGCCGTATGAACCAGCACACTGGGGTAGCATCCACTCGAAAGACGTAGGTTCTTTATAGTACACGAGCAAATTGCGCACTGGGCCTACGGCTTATAATCAGGCCTATATAAGCGAGCGTGCCGTTCAAACCAGCGCCGATATTATGGCTGAGGTTGCTCACGGCCATTCGACTCGCATAAATTATGTCTGTATCTTAAAGTTGCTTTGGAAATGAAACTGGTAATATAACATTTTAAAAGAAATACTTAAAATAAGGTAGGCGTAGACGATGGCTGTCCCGATATTT